ATAGTGCTCTGTTCTGTATCTCCTAGTTACTCCAGCATAATGATTCTGAACAGCATTGCCTACTTTTTCAGCTGGCAGAATGGTGATTTGTATGCTTTTGTGGAGATTTAGAAGTGTCTCAATATGACACATCTCTTCAGAAGAATTATATGAAGGACAGTTATTGCCACCTTAGAAACCTAGCTCTATTCTCCTTCCCCTCTCTCAGCTAATACTGCCTGTTTAAAGTAAACAACCTGCAGTAACATTTTACATGCCATGTTCTCTGCCTGTCTCCATTGTTCTATGTCACATTGTAATTCTACACCTGGTGCCACAGACATTGTCAGTCACAGTATTGAAATACATTGCATCAATCTGTATTTTTGTACAGTGCAAGGAAAATGCTAAAGTGATTATTAAATACTAAGTGCTTATGTACTGCTTCGATATCACCCTAGCATAGAAAATCTGACAGGATGCATTTCTATGGGGAGTTAGGAAACAGAGAGGGCTTAACATAATTCCATAATCAGTGTGTAAATGAAATGAAAAGGTGTGAAGGTGAAAGTGGATAATGAAAAAGGAGAAACGTGGGATGAGACAAGAGTGAAAAAAGCAGATGAGTTAGAGGAAGCTCTTAGTTAAGAAGGGAGGGTGTAAAGGCAGTTGGAAAGGGAGAGAGCTATCCATGGTGTGACAATTGTAAGGGGACTACAGCCATTCTCCAAAATACATTCTGGCCATCTTCTTGAGGATTGCCGTTCAGTTAACTCCTAAGGCAGTTTCTCATGAGACTTTGCTTAATATCATCTAGCTTCTAGACACAGTGAGTGTGGAAATCTGTGATCCAGAACAGGCTTCAGGAATAGAGTCATAGGATGATAGAGATGTAGGACTGGAAGGGACCTTGAGAGGTCTAGTCCAGTCCCACCTCCTTGTAACAACCTCTTATGTATTTGAAAACTATCATGTCCCCCCCACACACCCAGTCTTCTCTTCTCCAGACTAAACAAACCCAATTTTTAAAATTTTCCTTCATAGGTCATGTTTTCTAGACTTTTAATCATGTTTGTTTCTCTTCCCTGGACTTTCTCCAATTTGTCCACATCTTTCCCCAAATGTGATGCCCAGAACTGGACACAATACTCCAGCTGATGCCTAATCAGTGCAGGATAGAGTAGAAGAATTACTTCTCATTTATTGTTTACAACACTCTTGCTAATACATCCCAGAATAATGTTCACTTTTTTTAGGGCTGTCGATTAATCACCGCTAACTCATGCGATTAACTAAAAAAAATAAATCGTGATTAAAAAAATTAATGGTGATTAATCGCACTTTTAATTGCACTGTTAAACAATAGAATACCAATAGAAATTTATTAAATATTTTTGGATGTTTTTCTACATTTTCAAATATATTGATTTTAATTACAACACAGAATACAAAGTGTACAGTGCTCACTTTATATTATTTTTATTTCAAATATTTGCACTGTAAAAATTATAAACAAAAGAAATAGTATTTTTCAATTCACCTCATACAAGTACTGTAGTGCAATCTCTATCGTGAAAGTGCAATTTACAAATATAGATTTTTTTGTTATATAACTACACTCCAAAACAAAACAATGTAAAACTTTAGAGCCTACGTTCCATTCAGTCCTACTTCTTAATCAGCCAATTGCTAAGACAAAAAAGTTTGTTTACATTTACATGGGGGTAACCATTAGAGCTGGAGAACATCAGTTCCATTTTGTGACACCTTTCAAGTTTTTGATGTTTTTTCCCCCTCATTTGAATGAAAATAAAACCTTGAATATTTTCATGAAAATGGAATTGTGTTGAACGGTCCATTTTTCAAATACAAAACCTGTGTGTTGGGTGAGGAGGTTAGGCTACTGGCGTGGGATGTAGAAAATCCAGTTTCAAGTCCCTGTTGTGGGAAAATGGTATCTTTGGGGGAAAATGTGTCACAAAAAAACAAAAACTTGAAGGGTCCTGAACTTCAAGGAGGGTTTGAGTTGTCGAGATACAGTTCCCTTTTATGCTTATTGAAATGTACACAGCCATTTTCTTTAACTTATTTGTTTGTTTTAGCTGAAACATTTTCAGATTTCACAGAGAGCTCACTTGAAAGTTATTGTTTAGTTATTTGCATGTATGGAGATGGAGTTTACATGCTGCACGAATGCTTACAAAATGATTTCTTGGTAGTTTCCTTGAGGCTTCTAAGGCACGTCTGTCTTGTGTTACCAATGACCACCTGCAAAGCTTTCTCGTTCCCAGATAGAAACAGCTGAAGTGTCACAGAAACTGACTCATGTAACGTACAGGCAACAATTCTTAATTCTGTAATTCGCTTCAGGCAGGCAGACAGCTGGAAAGATTTTTGCCAGTTTTTGTTAGCTTATTTTGGCAGATTTTTATTAAAATGAAAGCTGCTCATTAAAATAACTTAATTCTTCTTGGAGTGCTTGCATGTGTCCGTTCCACTTCAGGTGTCTGCGCACCAGTGCGTTGGAGCCAGAGGACTTTTTCCCATAGCGGTTCCCATCAGGGCAGCATCCTTGTGCTGCCAGCCGAGAATAAAAAGAGTCCAGGGCTTCTCATTCATGGCACTGTGTTACAAGATCTCCATCCAGGCACTGTTCTCTACCTGCTACCATCTTTGGTACCAATACTGGTACCAAAGATGTGGATGCTATCCCTTCCAGTTTCTGACCCTCCTGCTCTAAATGCTGGGTCTCAGAGTCATTCTCACTCTTTATTGGACCAACTAATATTTAATTAAAGTGAAAAAACTTCAGTAGGAGAGACTGAGGAAGATCTACCTCCCATAGTCCAGTGGTTAAGGTACTCAACCAAGAGATGGTTCAAATCTCTTCATCAGGCAGAGAGGGGATTTGAACTAGGTGTCTCCCATGTCCCACACGAGTACCCTAACCACTGGGCTAAAGGGAGGTTCTCCGCCAGCTGTTTTGCAGCCTCTGAGTTAGGCAGCCTCTGAGCACACTACTGGATTGGGCCCTGCATGTGACTAAGGCGGAGGAACATCTATCTTTTCCCGTTCGTGAATCACTAGCAGAGATCAGCAAACCCTTGCAATCCAAATTTAGGCACCTGTCTCTGTGAGATGGGGCTTAGCACACACCCTTCTTGTTGGCATCTTCCATTGGCTAACTTAGATGGCTTCCTTTGTAGAGCGCAATCTAAGGGATGTGTCTCTCCTCTGTATTTGTCACTGGTACAACTGCTGCTGGAATCCTGTGTCTAGTTCTGGTGTCTACAATTAAAGAAGGATGTTGATATATTGGAGATGGTTCAGAGAAGAGCCATGAGAATGATTAAAGGATTAGAACACTTGCCTTATAGCGATAGACTGAGGGCATGGCTATACTTGCAGATGTAGAGCGCTGGGAGTTAAACCAGCCTTTGGAGACCGCAGCAAGGAAAACGCTGCCGTGTGTTTACACTGTCAGCTGGAAGCGCACTGACGTGGCCACCTTAGCAGCTCTTGCAACATCTCAAAGAGCAGTGCATTGTGGTAGCCATCCCAGCGTGCAAGTGGCTGCAACATGCTTTTCGAAAGTAGGGGGTGGGGGGTGGAGTGTGACAGGGAGTGTGTTGTGTGTATGTGGGGGGAGAGACAGTGTGTTTTGGGGTGCAGAGAGTATGTCAGCATGCTGTCTTGTAAGTTCATACAGCAACGAGACCCCCCCCCCTCCTCCCGCCCGCCCCCCCCCCACCTCTCTCTCTCACACACACAGCATTCCACAGTAATGGTTTGCTTTGTCCCAGAGCAGATAAGCATGCTGGCTGTCAGAAACAGAGCGTTGAAAGGGGATATCTGCATTCCTGCAGATTTCAAAACAATGACAAGAGTGGCCACTTGAATTCAGGGGATTATGGGACATTTCCAGAGGCCAATCACAGCGCAGTAATGCAACACCTCGTTCATACTGATGCCCAGGCATTTCAGCCAGGGCGTAGCAAGCTTTATGCTTCTCATGGAGGTGGAGTACCAGGAATGCTCCAGCTGCAGAGTCCAGGCGCTCTACATGCCTTGCCAGCGTGGACATGTCAGGGGTTAGGGCGCCCAGGGCTGCTTTAATGCGCTCTAACTTGCAAGTGTAGCCAAGCTCTGAGAGAGCTCAATCTAGTTAGCTTGACAAAGAGAAGGTTAAGGGTGAATTGATTACAGTCTATAAGTACCTACATGGGAATAAATACTTAATAAGGGACCCTTCAATCTAAGCAAGAAAGATATAACACAATCCAATGGCTGGAAGTTGAACCTAAACAAATTCAAAATGGAAATAAGGCATAACTTTTTACCAATTAACGTAATTAACCATTGGAACAACTTCCTAAAGGTTGAGGTGGATTCTCCATCACTGGCAATTTTTAGTTCAGGATTTGATGTTTTTCTGAAAGATAATTATTTTGGAACGGCCTCTGGCCTGTGTTATAGGAGGTCAGAATAAATGATCACAATGATCCTTTCTGGTCTTGGAATCTGATGTGGACATTTCCTTTCTTTTAAGAGTTTGGATGGGTGGGTGATTTCATTTAGCAACTTTATCTGGCTTTTAAAGAATCCTTTTCTTTGTGGGAATACAGCTTTATGCTGCCATTTTTGAAACAATTGTTCTACCGTGTAGCTTCCAAAATCATAGATATATATATTTCTTTTAGCTTGCAGAATTAAAATAGGATTTAACGGTAGAAAGTGATACAATAACTCATTTATAAAAGATTTTATTTGCTTGTTAGTCTATTAATTGGATGGATTTTTGACTTTGTATGTTCTGATTCTCAGTGTATTTCACCTTTTGTAATCCATTGTGAACTGTAATAGTTTTAAATGTATATTTGGCTGAGGAAAGGCCGTGCAGTTTAGGCAGCTTTTAATACTAATGTTCATTTTCATATTACGTTAATTTATTGATTTATTTTAAATACTCTGCGACGTGTCCCGGTTTCCTAGTTTTAATACCAAATTGTTTCTTTTTTCAGTTGATCTAAAAAAAGGCCCGTGCCCAAATGCTGCAAAATCCAATCTCCCCAAGCCATGTCAATCTGGACTTCGTCCTCCTGGCTATTCACGCTTGCCAGCAGCTAAGCTGGCAGCATTTGGTTTTGTCAGGAGCTCGAGTGTATCCTCTGTCTCAAGCAACCAGTCAAATGACAGCGTTCAGAGTGATCAAAGCAGAACAACCAACCGTAAGTCAGAGAAAAAACATTCTGTTTTTTAATATTAAAATGTATCCCAAATATGCTCAAAAGGGAGCCTGGATGGAAGGGTTATTTTAATCCTCGTGACACCTTAACAGTCTCTTCTATTCCATAAGGTTAGGGGTTTAGAATTCTGATTTTTCCCATTTGAAAATGTTTAATAAATAATGGTCGATGAATAATTACTAGAGATAAATTGCATAGAGGGGATTGCTCTCCCTATTGCAGAGGAAATTGCTTTAAAGGATGCACTTAATTCATTTTTGTACTCTATTTTTACTTATTCGGAGAATTTTCCTTCTTAAGTAAATAAATATAGATGTTTTTGGTCAGCACACTGCAATCCTGGACAACAGGCATTTTAGGGGGAAAATTATATGCACTGAATAGTGTATTCTTTCTCATTTACTATTTTTCTGCACGTCTCTTAATGTGTTGTGTGCTAAACTAGGTTGAGAAAGTTAATCAAGTAATGTGAGGGATACAAAATAGGATCAGAATTGGTTTCATAGCGTTGGTCTCTTCTCCAGTCTTGGAAAGATCCCTTGGCTGAAATGTCATCTCAAATCCTATTTTCTATAGCTAATGTTAATTTTATTAAGTACTAAATAACGCCGGCTGGAGTGTGCACTCTTTGTGACATACACACACGCCATGGGCTCAGGACATAAATGGAGATTGAGGATTTTTAATGCCAGTTTTTCTTTGAAGACTGGTTTCAGCCTGAACCATGTCAATTTCAAAGCAACTGTTATCAGTCTTGAAGTGGTTCAAATTGAATGTGCCAGATTGCATAAAATTCCAGAGGCTTTAGGATGCTGTTGGGTCCTAAATCTTTTAGATTTTATATTAATTTTTAAATGAACTACAGTAAATAAAAACAAAAATACACAAAAAATCCTCAGGATTTCTTCTTCTTTGCACTTTTTTATATGGGGTCATTGAAATGCAGGAGATTAATGCATCTAATGAGTTCTGACACACACAATGGTTTTGAAAGCTAAACGTATGTTAGAATGCTTATTACACTGTTGGACTCTTCTTTATTCTTACCTGTCTCATAATGAATGTTCTTTTGTTCTGAAGTTTTTTGCCCTAATTTTGTGTGTTCATAAAATTTGTCTTTTATCAGGTACTATGGCCTTTGTAGGGTGGCAAAAAACTCATGTCACCACTGATTTAATCCAAGCTACCACATTTCAGCTAGAAACTGTGTGTGTATAGCTGTAATACAACCTTAGTAGATATTGGTGATATCTATAATTCCAACCTCTTATATTAGAATATTTTCATTTTTGTAAATTCTCTGAGTAAGATTCTCAATTCCAAAATATGGAGTCCGTTGATTTCAGTGCAGTTACTCTGGATTTATGCTGATGAAAATGTGATCAGAATCTAGCTTTGTGTGTACCCCAAGGAGTACAAAACCCCATAAACTTTGGAAGAAGTATATAGTCATATGAAATCCAGGCAATTGAGTCCAAGTTTTGGTGAGTTTGAAATACAGAGGTAGTTTAGTTTGTATGTAGTGATGGACTCGGTCCACAACATCTGGATCCAAGTTTCCAACACCACAGTTTTTGTGGAGATGTTTGGATCAGAGATTTTGATTCAGACCATTTGATTAAAGATTGTAACCATTTGTACAAGTCAAACTTAGATTTGTGTTAGGATTTCTGAACAACTCCAAAGTTTGTGTGTTTGGAATTGGGGTTTTGGCTGGACCCATCTGTAACTATTGGTGGTTACCTATCACATACTGAGTTTGTGACTCATGAGCAGGGCCAAAAATAGAACCTTATCAGCTCCTGTGTCTGCCAGGGCCATGCTGTTGCCCACAGACCACCAGATCACTTTTTGCATTTGAGAAGTGTGAAGAACAGTCTTCCCCTCATCTGAATGCATGGAAAAATCCTTTTCTTGAAGGACAGAGAGGTGAGTTTTGTATTGCCGTATACATCTTCCAAGCACTGTGTCTGTACATGAGATGTATAGTAACCAGGAGATTTCTGGACTAGAAGCAAAACTTACTTTTATTTTGCCTTCAACCCAATATGGATAATGGGTAACACCCTTCACTCCCTATCCCTTAAACTTGGTCAGCTGGATTTCTTTCTAAATAAATAACTAAATAACTAATAGGAGATATTGCATTTTATTTTCTTACTGTTGAATAATTAACTGTAATTGAAATATTATCAGACTGTAACTCCCAACTCCTCCTGAATATACTCTGTAGATAAAGGAAAGTTGAACCAATGGTATCACACCTAGTGTGCTTGAATTAGACTAAAGTTTATTCTGTTCCAGTGAGGTTTGTATTCCACCAAGGTCACTGAGGTACCTGAGCATCTATTGCATAGAACAAAAGAGAAGTGGTGGGAAGGAAACTATATAACAAATCTTAACAGGACAAATGATTTATATTCCCTTGCTGTCCATTGGAAGAATAGTTTTATTTAATATAAATAGCTGATCTTATAACTACTAAATTGGATCATAAGATGTAACTAAATCAGATTCATTTGCTGAGCAGAGGGCAGGGTAAACTTTGAATATTTATATCCTGCCTCAGTGGGGTGCAGAGTGCTAAATGATGAATCTTTATAAATCTTTAAAGATAACATGATTTCCTATTTAAGCAGCACCACTGTGTATCAGGAAGACAGAATATTATTGAAAACACCTTAGCAGTCCAAATATACAGTAAATTGAGGGGCATATAGTTGTGGATCTGATATCTGTCATAGTGAAACAAACATATTCTTGTAAGCAAATAGTAAAGTATTGTTTCTGCAAGCAGATATCTATAATTGCAGAGTGGGGGGACATATAGTAAAGGATTATGTTAGATCCAGATGATCTTTTCCTCAAGTGTTCCTGACTCTTTTTTCTCTCTCCTTGGATGTTTTAAGGTGCTAGTTCTTGCAGTGATACGTAATGGTCATATTACTTTCCAAAGCAACTATACTACTGTTTCGTTTCAGCAAATTAATATGGATTCATTAAATACCCTCTACACACATAAATGGCTTTGAATGATGGCTGTCTAAGGAGATATGTAACATTCCTTTTTTGGATAAATTTATTAATGAGGTTGCGGTGAGGCAGCTCTGGCATTACCCCAAATTCTCAATTTTTCTTGACCTTCCTGAAGGATTTAAGCCTGGGTATGGCACAGATCCTGTTCTGCTTTCCTTGGTCTACAATCTCATTATGGCAATGGATAAAGATTGCGCGCTTGCTGATTCTCATAAAGAGAATTACATTTGAGTTGCTCTGTTTTTCACTTAAAGAGGACCCAGAGCGGTGATTTCTTGTTTGCTGTGAGTAGAGTGAATAATTATTTTTTTTAAAGTACTGCCAGGGAACCAAAAAGATCAGGGAAAATATTTGGTTTGGTTCAGAAAATGTTTGTGATTTGTCAGCGAATTGGAAAAATCCACATCTTCTTTCTGCCTAGTTCAGAGGAGGGATTTGAATCCACAACTCCCAGACGAGTGCCTTAGTCACCAGGCTGTAGAGTCGTTCTCATTGCTGTTGGTTATTGGCACAATGAATATTTAAATATTTATAAAACATGCAACAGTTTCAACAGGAGAAATTGAGAGTGACCTACCTCAGAATAGCCGATAGCCCTGGCAGTGGGGAGATCAGAATTTAAGGACCTGCTGCAGAGTGGGGAATCAAACCTGGGTCTCCCCCCAGGCCCAGCAAGTGTCCTACCCTTTGGGATATAGCTTATAAAAGGATGCACACTCACATAGTTTGCTGGTCCTGAAAAACTTTTCCTTGGGCACAATTGTCAGGTCAAATTCACAAATAGTTTTGAGTCAGCCGATATTTGCAGTTTTTGGTAAATAAATTCTTTGGCCAAAAAAATCACCCAGCTCTACCTTTAGTTACGAGGTCTTTCCTGTGTGGGGTACCACAGAGTTCTGTTCTCTCACCCCTCTGGTGCTTCATGTAAGTTAGGCTGCTATGCGAGATTGTGTGAGAGCTTAGGTTGCATTACCCTGAGTTGCTGGTGACACTGCTCCAGGGGGCAGATCAAGTTGTAGGTGAGCAGCTCTGGTGTATGCCAGTGGAGGAGCAGGCATAGTGGAATTGTGCTTGACCATGATCTTGCCGGCTTCTCTGCTGGGGACAGAGAAGTGACTGGCATCAGCTGGGGTAATGGGTGTTGAATATAAGAGGCTGGGGGAGGCTAAGCCTCCCCAAAAAAGGCTGGCCATGCAGGAGGGCACAGATGCGGCGCGGGTCACCTCCCTTTGGAGGTGCTCCAGCCCGCCACCTTTGGAGCGCCGGAAGCGAAGTTCCCCAAAAGTGTGGGGAGGCACTGGCGCCCAGACAGTGGCCCTGCCCCCACTCAGCCTCTTCCCCCATGGCCCCGCCCTGCCTCTTCCCCTGTGGCCCCACCCCAGCAGCTGCTCGCTTCTCTCTGTGGAGAGGAGCGAGTGGCGGGCGAGGGGGGTCCTCATGGGAAGAGGCGGAGAGGAGCGGGCAAACCAGGGTGTGTGTGTCTTGGGGGAGGAAACAGATGGGAGAGGGGCTCGCATGTAAGTCTCCCCGAATGGAACACTCATATGCCACCTATGGAGGGGGTAGAGTCTCTCCACCAGCTTTCTATTGGCAGGAAGTTTCCTTGAACAGGGGAATTCTGAACTGGCCATTTCCAGCCATTTTAAATCCACTTTGTGCTGCTTACAGGCAAAGTGGATCAAGCACACTGGTGAATCTGGCCCCATGTCTCCATTAAATCAAACTTGGATGGTGCGATCATACAGCTTTCCCAGTGGCTGGCTAAGACTGGAACTTGGGTGGGAGCTAGCAGCTATCTGAAGTTCAATCTGGACAAGACTGAGTTGTTGCTGATGTTGGCGCAACTTCTTTCCAGGTTAAAATAAATATGTGGAGATATACCTATCTCATAGAACTGGAAGGTCATCACATCTAGCCCCCTGCTTTTACTAGCAGGACCAAGTACT